GGAAGTAGAATGATTAGGGAATGAATAAGATTAGAAATAGGAGGCAGAAGTGGAGGAAAAGAAGAGAGAGTCTAACTTTTCAGAAAGAATAAGAGTAAAGTAAAAGACGATTAATTAATAGGAGCTTAGTTAAAATTGTATATCTAGTAGGAAATATCATTTTTAGTCCTCACAGCATAGAGGCCATTGGAATTTACGATGCCACTATAATCTGCACGGAGTCAAAGCGTAGCTGTGAATAACTGGTACACTTGCCTGTGTGGTGAAATGAAATGCAATGACATCCTGAGACGCATTTATATCGTTATGGAAAAACTCAATTATCAGTCTTTAAATTACGTCAAACAACCTAGGGTGACTAAATTATTATTAAAGAATAATTGAAGGTCTCGAAACCTACTAAAATCGTAAATACGCGTTATTTGATTATCTTGAATGACCATAATCTCGCCAATTTTTATAGATCGTAATCCGAGAGTAAAGTTACCCAGCGAATAATTGGTTTTTATAATGGGCAAATTGATAAGCTAAGACTCAAATAGAAATATCATATCGTTTTACTTGACCCAAAGTGACTAAGCTTTTTTATTCAAATCGAAAATATCCGTGCTGAAAAGGAGTTCACGAGAGTTAAATTAAACAACGCAAAGCGACTACGATGTCTTAATTGCATGGACCATAGTTTCAACAAGATTACAGTTACAGAATGTGTCAATTTTGCCTTTATAGTAAAATTGGGAATATGTAAAATGCAAGACCCACCACAAGGTTACGTGCGGCCTTTAGCCGTCTTGACATTACAACGACTCCTGATTCCTGTTTCTGCTGATGAAATTGAGGCGAGCTCGAATCCCTAAGCCATCATATATAAGAGACATTTTTTAGGAGGTAAAGTAAGAAGAAAGTCAATGGCACCTTTGGGCCCATTTGAACAAGTATGAGAAAACTCAATTATCAGTCCTCAATTTATCATAATTGAACTAGAGTGACTGGGCTTTCTCTACTCTTTCTAGGGGAAACTTCATTTTGAATGAAAGCGCATGAAGAAAAGATTCGTTTGTCGATCTCACCAGATGAGGACGGATGAAAATCGTTGTACTGCAGCCGTTCGGATTTTATATGATATTCATGTTGACGTAGTCCACGAGTCTTCCTCCCTCCTTTCGGGTAGAAAAGTGCTGAGCTTTGGTCCATCATATGATGGACATCATCAGAGCTGCGTCAACATGAATATCATATAAAAGCCGAACGGCTGCAGTACAACGATTTTCATCCGTCCTCATCTGCTGAGATCGAAAAACGAATCTCTTCTTCGTGTACTTTCATTCGAAATGAAGGTCCCCCTAACAATGTTATATCAGGGACAAACGGATCTCTTTTTCATGCACTTTCATTCGAAATCAAGGTCCCCCTAACAATGTTATCTCAGGAGATTCATCGAAACCAAGTTTCTCTTCGTATCTACTCTTTCTGTTCATCGACTTCTAGGTAAGCCCACTTTCTTTGCACGATGGTAGTCTCATTCATAGGGCACAGTGCTGATGCATGTTGCAAATGGCACAATAGTTTACAGGCTTAGCTATGCCGTAGATTTGTTGTGGTTCAGTTGTAGTCGAAGGGAGCAGCAATTCAGTCATTTATTTTCAAAGTATGCAAGAAGAGTAAGTAATTTTTGATAAAATCTGCTTATATCTCATTGCTGAGGTGAGTTTAATTTATTTTAAAATTGTATTGTGAATAGATTATTATGTCAACCTAATCAGAAGGCGACTGTTGATTTTCTGGGGTATAGTCTAACCAGAGTTAAATAGTCAGTTCAAGCTGAAGCAATCCTCAAAAAATCTTTTTCGGTTGCAGTAAATCCTGCTGAGCCTCCATTTGTCACAACAAATTTCATCCAATTAAGAATTGATTCTTGTAAAGACTCCGAGCTTACAATAAGTCAAGAAAAACAACCAGCTCATCCCAATATATATATATACGAATAAGTTATTCTCGAAGGCATAAAATGATTTGGTATTGCAATTTTCACGTCTATACACTTGTGCGTGCATATGGGGTGGTATGAGCCACTGATTGTTGTTTTGATTGATTGCGGCAGAGTGTAAAATCATTCCACGGTCGTTAAGGTAAATGAATTTTCAACTGAAGTAATAATATAAATATGCTTACATAATACCGGATACACATCTTTAAAATGAAATGCTCAAAAGATGTTATTATAGATTGACACATGACCAGAGACTAGTTAAGTAGTATTTTTTAGAATGTGGCTGAATACCATCTCCACCCGTGGGTCTATCAGTCAGGAATAGGTAATTGCTGCCAAAATTCTTTTCCATATTCCTTACATTCAACATTTGAATGGCCTTTTTATGCCAACTATAAGTCATATCATAATCAGAAAAACGATGAATCTGATGCCATTCAATGCCGCTGCAGGTTTTTTATGTGCTCATCCACTCAATACTGTCTATCCAGAATCCTTTAAAAGCAGTTTATTGTTTGCTGCTCTTTGATGAATAGGGTGGCACATCTACCCAACATGCCAGCCAGGCTTCGAACGCTTAAGCTACCTACGTTAGCCTTCCAATAGTGCCATTTTTAGTCTTAATGTAGGTTTTTCATACACAGTTAAACAAGCATTTTGTCGAATGCTTCTCAAATCTCATATGCATCGGTTAAGCGAGTGTAATTTCAATAAAAACGAAGATATCTTGAGGAAATTCGTAAAGTTGTATTTGCAAAAAAACTCCATTCGTCGAGACAAAAACGATTTCAACTCACTTTTATCTGGGATTTAACGATGCTTTCTACGTTCACGTCCAACTCCCCGGTACTCTCTGGACAATGAGAAGACAAATTATAAAGCTTGTCGCTATCCTCAATAGTCGAATCGATACCTTGTTTTTCACTCATTTGCCTGTTATCATCACCGTCAAATTTGTCTATTTGTCTTGACTCAAATCGAGCGATCGGTATCGTCTCATGGAGGTTAGGCGTGGATGGTCGTTGTTTAGTTGAGGCTCTCGAATTCTTCGCGTTCTGCTCGGGTCGGCCGGGACCCAGCCCAAGGCCAACTGCCTGCTTTAGGCGCATCAACTCAAGCCCCATAAGACCGGCTGACTCAATGTCATCCTCATCTGTATGTACGCCTGACGCACTGCCATAACAATAGACCAGTTTGACTGCTGCCAACCGATCCGACTTAATTGGTAGACTTAGCCCGTCTACTTGTAAAGGCTTAGTCTCCCTAATCGAATATGGGGATTTCTGGAAAAAACAGGATATGGTTCCATCCTCGCCGAGGTCGGTGGTACAGGATCCGTTCGGAGAAAAGTAGCTATCAGTGTGCATCGGAGACCCTAAAGAGTTGGCCACGGCCGCGGAGTAAACGTCTGTATTGACAGTGGTCTCAGCCGGATCTGAAAAGGGAAATGTAGCCGTCGCTTCCATGGCAGAAAGGGAATGTGTGTTTTCTAATAATTTAATGTGTTGCTCCTCTGCCTTAGGAACATGTGGCAGTAAAGGTAGGGAGGAAGAAGGGGATGACGACGTTGACGACGAAGACGATGAAGAGATACTGGAGGAGATGGAAGAAGATAACGACGAGGACGACGAAGAAGATGATAGATTTGATTTCGCCTTGGTCTCGAAGACAGAATCTCTGAGGCGGCACTGCGGCCCTTGGCGGACCTGTGTACAGACAAAGGCGTGGATTGGTCTATCAGTAAGCGGCTCCACGGATTGTACCATGTGCTCTTCCTGCGATGTGGTCGCTGCTTTGACAGAAAACATTGATGAAAACTATTTTCTGGAAAAAAAACAAAATAAAGGATATAATTCAATGGAAACATCAGCTCTATTCATACCATTGTGGATTAATTCAACTATCAGACCTTCATCCCTTTAAACAAAATAGGGTAAATACATCTTATATAACTGATTTACTGGTGGTCCCAAAATCTTACTTGTGAATGAAAAATAAGCAATGTTAAAAAATATATAACTTTGCCGCATTAAAAATCCTTCCAATGCATGTGATATGGAAAAATGCCTGACCTTTGAAATTCACATCTACACTGTGACCCAAGGGCACTCGTGGCAACGTGGAGTAGTTATTAGCAAGTCGATAGTACTCGCTGCATCTACATAGTTCGAATCCTGCTGGGAGTATTGATAATATCTAGGCCAGGTCTAAACTGTAGTCCACTCTTGATGCGAGTACCTTTTGGGAAAGTAAGGCTATACGAAATTCATTGAAAACGTCATTATGGGAAAATCCAACTACCAGTTCTTCATCATCTTAAACGAAACTCTCATATCAGTCACGGAGGAAATACCTAGATTTGTTGACAATATAGCATATCCAGGGTTAATGTAAATGCATTTTCACCTACAAAAGCATAAATAAATATTTTATTTGATGCTATTCCAAAAATACTCAACTTAATCTTTATTCAGCGCAAATAAATAGAAGTAAAAATAATGTCCATTTAGGCTATCATTAGCTCTTTCACTAGAGGAAGGTGACTTAAGGACATGCAAAAATGTGAGGATGAAAAAGAGGGAATTCATACTTGGGTAAATAGCCTTCAATCGGGACAATTACGGACCATAATTGAATAAAGCATTCAGTGCGATCTGCCCTCATTTATATGCGATCAAAATAGTACCAGAAAAAGTGTAAACAACGCATTAC